AATTAAAACTTTGCATGAAAGAGTCCAAGCAAAAACGTGTGCACACAGTCTGACCAGCATATAGAATATGCAATAATGCTAAAAAAATGTTAGAAAAGAGTTTTCATGCAATCTTTTAAGAACTTAAAAGTGTGATTTTGCACATCTTAGTTTTTGAGTCCCTAAAGAATCAAGAAGATGTAGGCTATATGTTGCGAAACTCTGTTACTTACAAGTACAGATCTTCAGTGGGGATAGAGAGGATAAAAAAAAAAGATTATTATGCGTGTGTGTGCACGCAGACTTCATGCCATCCTTGCATTAGTCAGTGCTCCAGGTTGGCCACACCAGTTAAAAAAGCATGGACACACCCCTCGGCCCCTGGCTATGGGGTTAAAATCCAGAATACCTGAAGTCTGCCTGATTGTCAAGCTGAATGAAGGGGCTTCATCATAACCAAAATGTACAGTAAAGGTTCTGTCTCAGCAAAGGACCCTGCCACTTTCCTTTGCATCTCTGCAGTGACGGTGTCTGGCTCCAAACTCAGACGGAGGTGGCTGGACTGTCCTCATGGAGCTCTGGCTCTGCAGATGACAGCTTCCACCTCAGCAGGAGAAGGACCGCGAGGGAGCCGGATCTCCTCTCAGCCTGTGACCTCCGTAGGTCGGTCTCCAGCTGCAATTAAAACTAAACTATCCACCCATTTAGAAAGCTGTTATTGTTGTATTGTTTCATGAGTTAAGTTTAAGGAGAACTTATGTCCTTCCATCTTTTTGTACCTCTCCCTTCTTGTCTCCTGTAGTCGGCCTGGGGATTGTGATGGTTTTCATCGTCACCCTCTTTATAGGGATCATAGCTTACCTGCTGTGCTGGAGCTGTGTGAGAGCAAGGTATCACTTCACTTTATTGTATGCTTATTTATATATTTCACAAAAACAAAATTAAGCAAACTCTTGTAACGACTTTTGAATGTGTTAGTTTTGTTTAACTCAAAACAAGAGTGGACGTCACCGTAGCTCATTTCATGAAAAACCACACCTTGACATTTAGCAGGAACAGAAGCCGTTACCTGACAAGAGTACTTCATGTGGTCAAAGCACCCGAGTGTGAAGGTTTTAGCGGAGGAGACACTGAACGTGTATTTCTAGCATTATGTCGTCCTCATAGCGATACAGAGCAACACTTAGGCTGCTGCAACATAATAATCTGTCAATATCAAACTGCCATTCATTCAAAACAAAACTGTCTCTCTGTCTCAGGGTCAAACAGAAGTGTATATCCTGGGGACTTGACTGTGTTGGTGAAAAGTTACCGAAACCAGGAAACAGTTTAGCCATCAGACTTCTGAAGGTAACTGAAGTGAGCTGGCATTCACACTTCCTTCTTTTTGACAGGAACTTCAGTCACCACAATAAGCAAAAGGACAACTGCAACAAACTGGACCAACACCACAAATGAAAGCACACACATACTTATACTCCCACAGATTAGCTTTTCCTACAACCAGGCCTGCCCAAACCAATGTCCGGCCCCTGAAAGGACCAGGGAAAGGACCCTTCAGGATCTGATTTGATTTATCCATACATGTGAGTTAGCACTAGCCTCCTGGCTAACTCTGCATGGCTTCAGTCAGCTTTTAGAGCTGGTGCTGGTATGGCTGCATCAGTCTCACATTACTGGCCTGGATCATACTCTTGCATCAACTCTACGCCATAGTGTCCAACACCATTGTGATTACTACATAATTCTGCATTGTTGTGTCTGCGTTACTATATAAACACTAGTGGGCAGTCCCATTTCTTGTCTTGTTACATCACTTTTCTGTTCCGCAATGGCTTGCAGCATTTTTCCTTCAGCAGGATTTAGAAAATGGCAGTGACATTGGAAATGTTGTAAATGCAGGAAATACAATGCTCTCCAGCGGTCCAATCACAGGGCTCGCAGTTGCGTCATCAAGAAGCCAACATGCAACTTTGTGAGCTGCAGCGAGTAAATACCAGTGATTGTGGCTTTGCTAAATGTTAATATTAATACTAAATGTTGTTTGCTTTGGTTTCCAGGACGACAGAAGTGAGTTGTCCTTCTTGTCCACCTGCAGCGACCCTCCACTGTCTCCTGTCAGTCTGATCTCTCAGGAGCAAAAGGACGACGTGTACCCCATCATCCACATTGAGCTATCCCAGATGAAACCAGGAAAACAAACAGCCCAGACACCTTTACTGATGTCAGATCCTGAGGCGACGCTTGAGGACTGTCAGCTGGAACATGTCGGTTACAAACCTCAGATTTCTACACTGGCTCCACAAGGACAAGGATTGAGGGAAACCGAGGAAGAGCTGAAGGATGCATCAAGTAGTGGACTGGAGGACAGAAACCGAGGCGTACCTGGAGGATTACTTGGAGGCTTTATGTCCAGTGTAGAGGGGGACTTCTGTGTTCCACCTCTGGGGCTTACTCTCATCTCTGTAAGTGATCCCCCGTGGCCTCAAACACAAGAAACAACAAGTGTCATGGATGGGGGCTTCTTAATGGAGAGGAGGGGGACTGAACATGATGTGGAATTGGACGCTGCCTGTCCGGACTTACAGCAGGGTGGAATAAAGATTAGTGACCCAGCAGACACTTGTTCATCTCAGTATCAGACATCACAGACTGCTGGTTATTTCCCTCAGGTAGCTTCTGTCGGCACATTGACACTTTCTGACACTCAGAGGTAGCAGGCCAACAGACAGGACAACCTGCACCTACAACTTATTTTCAAAAAGGCATTATTAAAGGACCATCTCAAGTGAGGACCTTACCGATGTGATCAGAAAATCCTGCTTCAGTAAGGACGCACTCACACTAGGAAATCTGTACCATACCTAAGCATGCTTCACCCCCAAAGTTCAGGTCATTTGACTAATATGAGGGCTCCGATCAGTGCTCAGTCGGGGTACACTTCCTTGGCCCTGGCCCACTTGGAAGAGGTTTGCTTTGACACTGTACAATTCATGCACAAGCACAAGCACAGGTTAACAACGTGGACAGCCTTCATTATGGAGAGTGTTCTGTCTGTATCTGACTAACATGACTCAGAATAAGACTCAAAGTCAGTAAAGTAGCCATCATGTTCTCCAGTTTGCAGACGCTGGCTTGACTGCATGTCCCTTTTTTTTCTTCAGTCCGCCTGTCTTGTAAACTAAGCAGGCTTCATATTTACGCAAAAGCCATGCATATGTTTTATTCCAAAGTCATGTAAGCTTCAAGTGGTAACAATGCTCAGGCCCGCAGCGTGAGTCCAGGCCAGTGGGGGAATAAGAACAGACTTAAGCAAGGTACGGTACAACCGGGCCTATAGCATGAGTACGCCCTAGATCTGCACTGCCATCTCGAAGGTCACATATTCACCTCCTCCTCTTCTTCAGTGTAAATAAGTCTCAGATCTCCTCAAAACATGTGTGTGAAGTTTCTTGTTCTAAATCCACTCTGATCCTGTATTTGAGCATGTCTATAAACCCCTCTATTTCAGCCCTGCTCAGAACAGGCTGTTTCTGTGTCTTTACCTATAAATATGTAAATGAGCTGTGTCTGACCACGCCCCCTCTCTGGAAGGGCTTGGGTGTACTCGGTGCTTTCTCGCTCTATGTCCTATTGTTTACGGTGTGAAGGCAGACTCAGAGGGCAGAACAAACACCTAGCTGCCCTTTGTGATGTCATGAAGGTAAAATCTCCAAACGGCCTGTTTGAGCACACATTTTCTGAAAAGTGGAGCAGGCAAAAGACGAAGAGGATGGACTTTTCTCATCATTGGGGGGTTTGTAGACGGACTAGAGACACATATTAGAGTTACAGAAACATGGTGAAGTGGTTTTTGATTAAAGCTCTTTAAAGCCCACACAGGGGATTTCTTATGTGTTTTTGCATTATAGGTGACCTTTAAAGCTCCTGTGTGGAACTTCAATTTATGTCAGTGTTGGCGCCCCCCTGTGGATAAAGTGGTACTACTTATCTCTTCGCTGATTTTGTCCGGTATGTGTTTTTAAAACATGTTTAAAGCATACAAAGTATGCAGCTATTCCTCTTGCTCCCGAACATTTAGCAAGGTGATCTGGCACTACTACCACCGACACTCCTGACACCTAGTGACCGCCATCGGACTGTGTCGTCCCCACAACCACCTCCTGACACCAAGCGACTACCATCGGACTGTGTCGTCCCCATAACCACCTCCTGACACCCAACAACCACCATTGGACTGTGTCGTCCCCACAACCACCTCCCGACACCCAGCGACCACCATCGGACTGTGTCGTCCCCACAACCACCTCCTGACACCCAGCGACCACCATCGACCACCATCGGACTGTGTCGTCCCCACAACCACCTCCTGACACCAAGCGACCACCATCACACTGTGTCGTCCCCACAACCACCTCCTGACACCCAGCCACCACCATTGGACTGTGTCGTCCCCACAACCACCTCCTGACACCCAGCGACCACCATTGGACTGTGTCGTCCCCACAACCACCTCCTGACACCCAGCGACCACCATCGGACTGTATCGTCCCCACAACCACCTCCTGACACCCAGCGACCACCATCGACCACCATTGGACTGTGTCATCCCCACAACCACCTCCTGACACCCAGCCACCACCATCGGACTGTGGCGTCCCCACAACCAACTCCTGACACCAAGCGACCACCATCGGACTGTGTTGTCCCCACAACCACCTCCTGACGCCCAGCGACCACCATCGGACTGTGGCGTCCCCACAACCAACTCCTGACACCAAGCGACCACCATCGGACTGTGTTGTCCCCACAACCACCTCCTGACGCCCAGCGACCACCATCGGCCTGTGGCGTCCCTACAAGTAGTGAAAATAATGCGCTATAAAGGAATGATTAATAATGGTAAATGGACTTGAGCTTGTATATTCATTTTCTAGTCTTCTGACTACTCAAAGCTCTTTTACACCGCAGGTCACACCTACACATTCACACACTGATGGTAGAGGTTGCTGAGTAAAGAGTCCATCAGTATTAACTCATCCATTCATACACATTCACACACTGATGGTAGAGGCTGCTGTGTAAAGAGTCCATGAGTATTAACTGATCCATTCATATACATTCACATGCCGCCAACAAAGCAGCGGGAGCAACTTTTGGTTAAGTGTCTTGCCCAGGGTCCCATTGGACATGTGGTTGCAGGAGCTGGGGATCAAACCTCCGACCTTCCAGCTGAGAGACAACAGCCTCTACCACTGAGCCACAGCCGCCCCTGTTCCACTGTCTACATGCATGGGCAGGCTCCACCTGAATAATCCAGGGGCAGTATCACGCCAAAGGAGGATAACCATCCACAAAACTGACTCTTGTTGGTATTTCACACAGCTAACCCATGTAAACATGTTAGTGTTAAAACATTATATTTGTTCTCCCTGTGAACAGCTGGAGGAGTTTCTGTTATTAACAGTAGATATCAGGGTGTGACCTCTGTATGTGTCTAATGTTAGACTTTCTGTTCCGCAAGCACTGAAGTGAGACAGAGTGTGAAATTATTCCAATCACACCCAGATTAAAGTCAGTTAGGGGTGTCCCCCGGCTCACTGCGTGGCAGAGTCACACGTGCACCACCTGCTCTTAGACTCAGTTTGTAAGACTTCCTGACAGTTTGCTCATTTCCTCATTTGTTATCTAAAATGCGAGAGGTCTCCCTCACTGACCGAATGACGTTATAAGACGTCTACAGGAGACTCAATGTCTTAGAAAGCCTCCGATTCTTCATGTTTTGGTGAAACACTGAGCTCATGTTTTTGTGCACTCATCATCAAAAAATCGTCATGACAGAACTGAAAGGAAGTGGTGAAAATGAATTGTGGAACAAATCGAGATAAAGTATTGGAGGACAATTAAGAATACAACTTTATATCTAAATATCTTCAGACAGGGGATGATGTTTGTATGCAAAGACTCCTGCACATCAGCTGCAAACACCTTGTGTGTGTGTGTGTGTGTGTGTGTGTGTGTGTGTGTGTGTGTGTGTGTGTGTGTGTGTGTGTGTATGTGTGTGTGTGTGTGTGTGGCTGAAGTTTGTCACACCTCACTTACAGACGGCTCTGTGCTGTGACGTCAGCTCTGCCTGGACACACTGCTCCTCCTGACATGTTTCAGACTCATCAGACTCATTATGACGGATCTTAAGAGGACTAGAGCTTCAGTGCCTCATCGGACTTACAATGTCGGATGTTAAGTAGGGTAGGCTAGAGCTCCAGTGGCTTTATCAGACTCATAATGTCGGATCTTAAGAGGACTAGAGCTCCATCAGGCTCAGACATGCTTCATGACGGCTGAGATGTGTAGGTTTGTTTTTCCTCTTTGTATTACTTCCATTCATTTGCACGCAACCGCAGTTCAGCGTTTTAATCTTTAATGTGACTATTTTTGAGTGTACACACGAGTCCATATTTATAAAGCCAGTTTAATTAAATGGGTCAGCGCCAGCAAAGCACGCAGGACGGGAAGTATCCCACAGAGGGATTTCCCAGAAATCAAACTGCAACCGAATCATTTAACTTCATTTAACCATCGCTGACTCCAGAAAACAAACCGAGATTACTTTTTTCGTTTGAGAACTTGTCCTTGTTTTCAGGTGAAGTTCAGCAGCAGGTTTTACTGCGATGTAAGAGACATGGACCTGTAAGAAGAGACCGTTACCGATGACTTATGGCGACCATGTCCCGAACATGGACCCTTCTCACTGCTGTGCTGGCAGTGCAGCTGTGCACAGGTGAGCTTAGACCATTGGGTGTCCGACATTTCAGCTGTGCGCTGGACAAGCATGAATATCTTTGTTCTAGTATTGAGATGTGAATAAAAATCCCCCTCAGGGAAAAAACCTTCTGATTGCGTCTCCAGATTCTTGTATCTCATTTGTGGACTAGTTATTCCAACTGTAGTGTTTGTGGCGCGTCATCCATGTTTATAGTACATTTCCAGGTTTGTTTTTGTGTGCAGACCCTAATGACATCTCTGATTGAGTGGCTGTGGCTCAGTTAGTAGAGTCATTGCCTCTCAACTGGAAGGTTGAGGATTCAATCCCCAGCTGGGCAACATGTCTGATGTGTCCTTGGGCAAGACACTTAACCCTGAATTGCTCCTGCTACTTCGGTGGTGGTGTATAAATGGGATTATTTACTTCTGATGGATGATACTACATAGCAATCATCACTACCATCAGTGTGTAGGTGTGACATGTGGTGTAAAAGCGCTTTGAGTAGTTGGAAGACTAGAAAAGTGCTATATAAGCTCAAGTCCATTTACCATTGAATAGGACACCAGTGATGAGTTGTGTTTGCACTACAGTAAAGTGTTTGTATTTTGAACTCTCAGGTCAGAAAGCCTGCTCCATCTGGTCCAGCGCTGGCTCTGTGGTGCAGCGAGGCTCCTCGTTTACTGTGTATTGCACCTTTAAGTGCAATAGTGAAGGATTCACTCTCAGTAATCACGTGCCAACACAGCTGGAGTCCAAAACCCTTAACTCAACTACAATATACCATAAGGTGGTGAACATCACCAAGAACCGAACGTTCAGCTGCCTGGACTCCTGTCCTCTCGCTAACGAGCCGTGTGGGATGGACATCAAGGCTGGACGTGAGTATGAGATCAAGGAGGAGGGACGTGACTCTTTCTGAGGCATGAATCCAACATATAAAAGTGTCTAGACAGTTTTACATCATGTCCCATATGGTCTAGCGGTTAGGATTCCTGGTTTTCACCCAGGCGACCTGGGTTCAACTCCTGGTATGGGAACAAGGATTTTGGGCGCGGCAGTAGCTCAGTCTGTAGGGATTTGGGTTGGGAATCAGAGAGTCGCCGGTTTAAGTATCAAGACCTAATCTGGAAGTTGGTCTGGTAGCTGGAGAGGTGCCAGATCACTTCCTGAGCACTGCCGAGGTGCCCTTGAGCAAGGCACTGATCCCCCCCAACATCAGCTCAGTCACTCACTCTGACATCTCTCCATTAGTGCATGTCCATAGGATCCTGTTTGTGCATGTGTGTATATTTCAGCCTGTGTGTGTGTTCATGACTTACAGAGTGTAAAAACAGAAATCAATCAATAAAAGTCAATCTTAATCTGAATGTCCCACGGCTGTCCATTAAATGAAATGGCTGTCTAAGTCATAAAGTAAGACTACATGTTACCAGAATGTATGTTTTCCTTGTTCCTCAGAATATCACATACATCTACACAAAGCCCTGCAGTCTTCATAGCACGGCTGCAACAGCTCAAGCTAAAAGAGCTGTTGTTAAAATAGCCGCAGCTTGTTCTGCTTTCTCTTTCTCTGGGTAATCTTGTTCCAGTCCGAGTGTGTCAAACATCTCTGCTGTTAGTCGCCTGCTCTAACCACAGAGCTTCGGCCGACTGAGAAGTCAAAGCAAAGAGGGTTTTTGACACGTACATAGTGCCCATTTCCTTCCATTGAACATACTGTACATGCACACAGAAAATTCACACATGATGCTCATGCATGATGTTAATGATAATATAAGGACATAGATTAGATGCATGCATTGGGTTGCCTTTAAAACCCTTTTTTTAACTAGGAAGCAATTGTGATAATATTACATTTTTGGACATCCCCTTGTTGGAATGCTAACTCGTGTAAAGACAGAATTACTGCAGTTTCAAATGTTTAAAAAAAGGCCTTACACATGATGTTAAACGTTCCTTCCACACTCACAAACCAACTCACAGAATTCAACAAAATATACTCCACAATTCTCACCTCCATTTTGATGCCGGTGAGTCGATGCTACAGCAGAACCAGGCGGGTAAACGAGGAGGAAAGAGGAAATTAGCACAACAATTTGAATATCATTTACAAACAGTCTGTATTTGGCAATCATTATGTTAGCACGCATACAAAGTGAAAAACAAAAACAAAGAAATAACCCCAAAAATCCTCACCATGTGTACAACCTATCCCACCAGTTTTATTTGACATAATTTTGTTACTATACTGCCCCCATGTTTTTCTTTGTCCTGTTTGCTCATTTACTTATTTTGTCCCTCTTTCTGATTCAGTCATTTTATTTACCGACCCTTTTCCTTTTGTTTTGTTTGGTTTTGTCTAAATCTGCTTGAAAAACTATATCGTACCACAGTTCCCCTCTTTGTTTGTATCTCTTTTTTTTTATTGTGTGAGTGTGTATATGCACGTTTTGGTGAATAAAAGTTTTTTAAAAACTTGCATCTCGTTTGTTTGTCAGTCCTACCAGAGTGCCCCAAAAACATCTCCTGCAAACACAATGTCAGAAATGATGAAGGCGGAGTGGTGACATGCACTTGGAACGCGGGACGAGACACTTATCTGAAGAATGCTTCAGTGCTGTGGTGAGCTTAAAGATGAAGTGTCCACAAACATCTGTACTGACATACTGCTGCTGCTGACATCTGGTTGTCAAACGAACCTTGTCTTTTTGTTTCAGGGTGACAACGGTATCTGGAAACCACACAGCTGGACCAGAGCCGCACAACGGCCTCAGCAGAGGAAGCGATTTACCCTCTGCTAGTTTCACTGTGTCCAGCTCCGCCTGGCTGATCTCTGTGTGGGTTCATGTGGAGAATAATCTGAGCAGTGCTACGTCCCTCCCTGTTAACTTCACCCTCAGGGACATCGGTAAGACAACGGCTCATGACCAGTCTGTCCATGATGTCCCACCAGTTTGCGAAGATGAAATGTTAATGTTTCATGAGTTTTTGTTTGCTGTAGTTATAAGTGGTGCTTTAAACCAGTTTTGCTTTGAACTTCTTTATGAAGTATGACAGGTCAACATCTCTCTCCTTGCCCCTTTGCACAAAGTAACCACTGACTTGTGATGTAGTGGAATCCATCTTTTCAATCGCTGCTCAAAAACTTCAACTTTCACATAATTTCTCTCCTGTCCTCACCTGTGTGTGTGTGTGTGTGTGTGTGTGTGTGTGTGTGTGTGTGTTGTGTGTGTGTGTGTGTGTGTGTTTGACTGTTCTGGGCAGCAATGCCATCCGCTCCTGATCTTGGCCAACCCGAGTGTTCTTCCCAAAGGTGCGTCATCAAAGTGGAGCAGCCTGTGAAGACTCGTTACGTGGAGATCCAATACGGAGCAGAGGCACAAACATGGACTTCTTCTCAAGAAGTAACGAGTCTAAACGCTTCAGTTTGATTCAGATGTTTTAACAGGAAACTTCACTGAATGACCTGCTGACTCAAAGACAGATTGATGTTAAACTCTTAATCTCAACCCTGCTCAGGCTGCCGTATGAAGCTGCAATATTTACCCCCCTCCCCCTGAATTTTGCTGAAGTGACCCCCCCTCTGTCCCGTCTTCAGAGGTCGTTACAGAGGAGAGACAGGATCAGCTGAGCCAGCGGGGGAGCACAGCGCTGTGTGTGAAATTCACAGACTGTGACGTCAAAATTACGGGCGTTGCAGAATCAATATGAACGTCCAAAGACGTGATGGCGGCTGAGCTTAGTTCTTAACAGTCTGAAAAGGGGCAAATGTTGCACAAGTCTTACAAATCACCTTTTACGTCCTGTCAGCAGTTCTTACCGACACGTTAGGATCGCACTCGAGTGAGTTTAAACATTTAAGAACGATAATACTAAATTGTATCAATGTTCTGATTCACAGTTTGTGCAGACGGGTCAAGCACAGGTTCAGACCATCTCCTCTCTGGAGCCCTTCAGGCTGTACCATTTCAGAGCCAGATCCAGGTTCAGCACTGGGATGTGGAGTCCCTGGAGTGGGAACACCTCGGGCAGGACTCAAGAGGAAGGTGAGTACACAGATGTCTAATTCATATTATTCATAAAGGACAGGTTAAACGCACAGTATGTCAAATCCGCCACCAGGGGGCTCTCAAGCATAACATTAACAAAAGATGACATCGAAGCTAGCGGGGAATCATGGGAGTTCTCTTGGCTACTCCCTCCCCCCTCCGTAGTCAAGACGACCGGGTGAAACCGACCTGAGGAAGAGAATATATTTACCGGCAATGTTTCCGAGTATAATTCACATGACGTTTTCATCTTAGCAGCTCAAACAGCAACAGCACGACAGCTTTCAGCAGCAGCTCATGCTTCCTTATGCAGCGGTCTTTGAAGTAACATCCGTGTTTCCACGGCAACGATACACATGTCGTGTCTGTCATGGCAACTGCCGCAAAGACACGTCCCATTACAGCTCTAAAATGACAGATTTTTCTGGTTTTGATAACTGTTGGAAATATTTGAGGTAATGCAAGAACTCCACAAAAAAAACATGGGTTTAGTCCATTTTTAATTAATTTAGATATTAGACTGTAAACATTGTCGTACAATTGTACATGCTATACCTGTGAGGGAGAAAGTGGTCTTCTTAAGCAGATCATGAAAACACGTTGCATAAAGTCTAATCAGCAGCTCCTGTTGTTGGAGTATTCTGTCTGCAGACACTCAGAGCTGAGCGAGTTCTCTGTCTGTTGCTGTGGCACTTTATCTCTGTCAGAGATCAGATGATGCAGTTACCTTCCCTTCCATTTGGGTTTTTATGCAGTTATCAGCTCACCACTGACCACGAGCAGGATCGAGATGTGTATTTGAGAGAAAACCATGAATCAGTGATGAGACAAACAGTTACCAATAGTCAAAGATAGAGAGACAACAGGTCAAATGGTATCCCACAAGCCGCCGTTGCTCATGGATAAGATATTGAATTTAAAGAGCGCCTTTCAAAGTGTCCCAAGGATGCTTTGCATGATGATAAAGGATGGGAGAGCGATGGAGAGGCAGAGTGAAGGGAGGTTGTCGACTGTGGAGAACAAGGAGTCCACAGATGGATCATTGTGGATGTCTGAGGGGAGGGTGCTCCTGGGGGGGGGGGGGTTGTGACGCTGAAGGCCCTGTCTCAGTAGGTGCAGAGTCTGTTGTGTGGTATGGACAAAAGGCCACTGTCTGAGGACTGGAGAGGTTTCAGGACGTGGTGTGTGGGTGTAGGAGGTCGGAGAGGCACTGAGGGGCGGGGGGGGGGTTATAAGTGAGGAGGAGTATTTTAGTATTTCTGGATCTATTCAGTGGAGGAGGAAAATTTAAGCCCAAAGAACGTTGGTCTTAATGATCCAGGTCCAGGTTCTCAGGATAGTTTGAAAGATGTAAATAAATTTGACATAGAAACATTTAAAATACACCAATGCGTATCGGCTTCTACAGGGTGTAGAGACATTGAGTGCGTTGGTTTGAGAAAAGTGATGTGGTGAAGAAGACAGTGAAGCATCATGGGAAATATCGCTGCATATGATCAGAGCTGATGGTGCGAAGATAGGAAGCTCTCAGTACAGACATGCTGACAGATCAGCAGCTATATATACAGAACCGCTATATGAGGAGACGTTTCTGGTAAACGAGCGTCTTCACTCTTATCGTATTTAAGTGTTAGCATTGAACCTACGCGTTCACTTCCGTGAAGTTTTTTATTGGATTCACACGTTTTGGTCTCCAAGCTACCGATGAGAGTCCGAGCTTGTGATCCAATAAAGCAGAGGCCGCAGGTTTCATCCAAGGTGGTGAAAAGTGAACAACTTAAAGGGATATGAAACGTTCCTGAGGAAGCTGATCTGCCTCTTTAAATCAGGAGCTGCTTTAACAGTGAAGAGACGTGAAGCTGAAACAACAACAGCTTCATCTCTGTTGAAAACTGTGCACCTCCTGCTGCGTAAATACAATACAATATTTATTGTCACACCTTTGGTACACAGGTATACACATACGATATCATAGCACGAGAAGAAACAGCCAAAGGAGTCAGCAAGAAGTTTCCTTCCTCTGAGGGAAAAGCAGTAATAAAATCCCAACTTCACCTTAAGTTTAGAGGCCACATGGCAATATGGGATTTAAAAGACAGATCACACTCAAGAATAAATCCCAAGTACTCGTAGCTTTTGACAAGCTCGATTACATTTCCTTGAGAAGTTAAAATCAATGGGACATTTGTTGTTTCTCCACTTAAATGTGAAAACAACATGAGTTTTGTTTTATCAGTGTTCATGACCAACCTTAGTTCCCTCAAACGAGACTGGACAACATTGAAAGCTGACTGCAGAAACTCAAAAGCTTGTGCAACAGATGCTGAGCAACCATAGATGAAAGTGTCATCAGCATAAAAGTGATACATGGTATTTGACAAATTTTCACACATGTTATTGATATAAATGGAAAATGAAATAGGTCCTAGTATCGAACCTTGGGGCACCCCTTTTGAGATTTCTAAAAAGGAAGAGGTGGATCCTGCCATTTGCACGCATTGCGTTCTGTTTGACAGATAGTTGCCAAACCAGGAGGCTGCTTGCTTTGATAAACCAACTTGATGGAGGATTTTGATCAATAATCCCTGATCAACTGTATCAAAGGCCTTTGATAAATCGATAAAGAGAGTGACACAAAACTTTTTATAATCAGTTGTTTCAATAATGTCAGTTAAAACCTTAAGAGCAGCTGTAACAGTGCTATGTTTTTTTCTAAAACCTGACTGATACTTAGATAACACATTATTGGCATCCAAAAAATCCTTCAGTTGTTCACTAATGATTTTTTCAAATAAATGCAAAGTTAGGGTAAGTTCTGTAATTGTTTACTTGTGAGGGTTCACCCCCTTTTAACAGGGGAAGAACAAATGCTGATTTCCAGACCTTTGGGATTTCATTGCTGATCAGACTCAAGTTAAAAATATAGGAATAGGAAGAATGGCTCAAGTTTATCAGGACCTGCTGATTTCCTGGAGTCCAGTTTCTGTAATGCTCTCTGCACCTCAGTGGCAGACACTGGCATAAATTGAAAAGGATGAACAGTAAGTTGACTATCAACGTGGTTTTGTTTTTGTTTCAGCTCCCTCCAGAGCGTTGGATGTGTGGTCCACTGACGGCCCGTCTGATGTCCAGTCCCTGAGGTTATACTGGAAGGTACGTTTGAAAGAGTCTCTCAGCCTGAGGGCTTGTTACAAATCTAAACCGTGAACGATGGTGACGGATAACACAGGTGTGCAGTCTCCATGGTTTCTCTCTTACGCACTCGGAGCGTGTGTGTGTGTGTGTGTGTGTGTGTGTGTGTGTGTGTGTGTGTGTGTGTGTGTGGTGCAGTGTGGTAACCATAGTTACACGTCTCTCTTCCTGCTTCACCAACGAGTTCTGCACACAAAGTAAAGGTCAACCCTTGACCACTTCTGAGGTGTGACAACACACACAAACAAAACACACACACACCACACAATCACACATCCCCTCCCTTTACCACACACACACACACACTCATTTAATGTCACATAAAGTAAGACGGTGAGAGATAAGTGAAACCTGAACTGCAGACACAACAGTTTCAGTTTACAAGAAAAGAGGAGCTGAGCAGAAACAGTGATGATGTCTTACACACGGAGGGTTGGTGTAAAGAAAGTTAAACCCAAAGTTCTGTCATTCAACGAGAGCAAATGTTTGGTTTAAACTCAAGGAGTGAACACTTAACTTTCTCTGATTTGCAGGAGCTGAATGTTTCTATCGCTAGAGGGAAAATCATTCAGTACCGCATCAGCGTCTACGGCCCAGGATCCCAAACTCCCTCGTTCACCACAAATGTCAGTGCAGATACCAGAAACTGTACGGTCTCGTTTTGTGCCGCCTGTGAAGTGAAAGTGTGGGCCTACAACTCCATAGGACCCTCTCCACCTGCGAGAGTTACAAGCATGCACACACGAGGTAATGAGGGAATGCTTCTTTAAATATGTCTGCAGTCTTTTATTCAGGAGCAGTGGTCCTGATACTGAAGATGGTGTTTATGTTCTCTTCAAGTAGAATCAAAGGCTCATTTCAAGTGTTCTCACTTTCCTGCTCTCGTTTTTACAGCCAAGCCCACTCAGGATGTGAACGTCACCGCAGACAACCAGAGTGTTGCCATCTCCTGGAGAAACCCAGAAGCTGCACCTGTACCTGCAGAGTATGTGGTGGAGTGGTACCCTGAGGGCTACAAGCAGGAGGAGCTCCAATGGGTCCGACTGGGGAGGAACGACAACCACTTTGTTATAACCGGTGGGACATATCCTCTTCTCTCTTCTCTATATTTTATTTTTAATTCGACATACTTTATTAATTCTGGCTTACTGAGAGACATGCTTCTCACACACATAGACCTGAATCACACACATGCACAAACAGGACCTGTGGACATGCATTAGTGGAGAGATGAGTGAGGGTTTGGTGCCTTGGTCAAGAGCGCCTCGGCAGCACTCAGAAAGTGCCCTGGCTCCTCTCCTGCATCAGGACTTAAACAGGCAACCCGCCTCAGATGTGATTATATTCAACACTGCTGTATTACACTTTGCACGGTGTCACAGTGCTTAGCTCTGTTTCCTCACAGTGAGGAGGTTCCTGGTTTGAATCCCCGTCTGTCAGGAGTCTCTCTGTGAGGAGGTTCCTGGTTTGAATCCCCGTCTGACAGGAGTCTCTCTGTGTGGAGGTTCCTGGTTTGAATCCCCGTCTGACAGGAGTCTCTCTGTGAGGAGGTTCCTGGTTTGATTCCCTGTCCTTAAGGAGTCTCTCTGTGTGGAGTCTACATGTTCTCCATGTGTGGGTTCTCTCCTGGTACTCCGTCTTCCTCCCACAGTCCAAAGACATGCTGGTTAGGTTAACTGGAGACTCTAAATTGTCTGTAGGTGTGAATGTGAGTGTGTCTGATTGTCTGTCTCTAAATGTCAGCCCTGTGATTGGCTGGTGAACAGTCCAGGGTGTAACCCCGCCTCTCAGCCTAATGACAGCTGGGATTGGCTCCAGCCTCCCCACGACCCCGTACGAAAAAAAACGGTGTAGAAAATGGATGGCTGCATGGACAGGTGTATCACACTTTCTTTCTTTGTGCAGGTATGAAGCCGGCCAAGTGCTACGAGGGAGCAGTGTATACTTTCTATGACAGCTCCATGGATCGAACCAGATTTAGAGCCGTTCTCTTGGAATCAGGTAATCTAAGAAGAGCTGAACATAAATGTTTAAATCAATGTGCCATTTTCAAGCTCGTACACTAAACCAATAAGAAGGAGACTGCCTTAGTAACAGGAGTGTAAAATCATTTAAATCTCTTTCACTCAAACGCTTTGTTTGCAGTTCCAGCAGCTGGCCCGTCTGTCCAAGAGAAGGTGGATGGAAACAAAGTGAGGGTGACCTGGGCAGAGATTGCCATGGGTCAGCGTGGTGGCTGTATCACCGAGTACACCGTCTATTTAGAGAACAGCCGCGGATATCGGCAGCGCTGTAAGAACAACTTTCTGAGGTGTCTCTTCTCTCTGAGAGCACCACATGTTATTTCTCTTTAACACATGAACAACTTCACTTAAGAGACTGTGTGTACTTCAATGTCTTTGCAGATTCTGTTGAAGCATCAGAGAGGACACTCACCATCCACGACCTGTCTCCTGGTGTCTGCAGCCTGTTGATGACAGCTTCCACTGCTGAAGGGGAAGGCCCTGCAGGTCAAAAGGTCAAGTTCTTCATTACACGTAAGCAGCTTTTCATGTTTCTTTAAAGGTCCAATCAGTGAGATGTGTAGAGAGTGAAATGATAAAGGTACCTAACTATATGATCATTAAAGAAACATGCCATGTTGAAGTGCTGGCTTCTCTGACAACAATGCAGCAGTCAGTATGTCCTCCTTCTAACTTGAGATTCTGCTCCTGAATGCTCTGGATTTGTTTGGACCAGAGAAGGTAGGCGCTTTTAAGACACGGCCGTTTTGGACGTTTGCCAGATATGAGAGCAGTTATCAGGTCAACAGGTGTTGCAGCGATGGAAGCGGTCAAGAGAAGTGGTTCAGATAGAAGTGATTGTACCCGACCTAAAAAGCCTCTACATGTTTCTAATAAGCTCCACGAGCAGAAACGTGCTCAAACTAGGATCAATATTGGAGATGCTTTTGAAAAATGGAGAGAGGTTAGAACACAGAAAGGTTTATAGACCCATGCAGAGCTGGATAAACACTGAAGCTTCAGAGTCCACCACATGGTGACCTGTGTGAGCATCCACTCTACAGAGGAGGGGGGGGGGACAGCTCTCTACAATGTTTAGAATTTAGACTGCAGTACCCATATTAAACACTAGGTGTCAAGAGTTACAGATTGCTCCTTTGCATAATTACAGTTGACCATTTAGGGGTGGATGTGGCTCAGTGGTAGAAGGTCAGAGTTTCAGCTCCTTCAGTCCACATGTCGAAGTGTCCTTGGGCAAGGCACTGAACCCCTAATTGCTCCCAGGCAGCATAGCCAGCTAGTCAGATATTCTGAATGTTTTCAACAGGCTGATGGTGGTTTTCTTCAAGTGTTTATGTAACTTAATGTTTTTAAGGTAGTACTTTCACTTGTAAATTAAAACTTTGCATGAAAGAGTCCAAGCAAAAACGTGTGCACACAGTCTGACCAGCATATAGAATATGCAATAATGCTAAAAAAATGTTAGAAAAGAGTTTTCATGCAATCTTTTAAGAACTTAAAAGTGTGATTTTGCACATCTTAGTTTTTGAGTCCCTAAAGAATCAAGAAGATGTAGGCTATATGTTGCGAAACTCTGTTACTTACAAGTACAGATCTTCAGTGGGGATAGAGAGGATAAAAAAAAAAGATTATTATGCGTGTGTGTGCACGCAGACTTCATGCCATCCTTGCATTAGTCAGTGCTCCAGGTTGGCCACACCAGTTAAAAAAGCATGGACACACCCCTTGGCCCCTGGCTATGGGGTTAAAATCCAGAATACCTGAAGTCTGCCTGATTGCAGAGCTGGATAAACACTGAAGCTTCAGTGTCCACCACATGGCAACCTGTGTGAGCATCTACTCTAGAGAGGAGGGGCGTGGGGAGACATCCATGGAAAGCCGATTGAATATTTAATAGATATCCTTGATATCAAAGCTCAGTTTCCTGTACTAGTGAGGTCTTTGGCCACACTAGTTTACTAGTAGAACGTTGAAAGACTTACTAGTAAACTAGTAGAAGGCAAAAAGTCCTACATGTTAACTAGTAAGGTGCAAAATATCTACTAGTTAACTAGTAAGATATATTTTGTGTCTACTAGTTAACTAGTGAGCCTAAACATGTTTACTAGTTAACTAGTAAAAGCAACAATGTCTACTAGTAAGCTAGTTTGACTCTTTTAACCTTACTTGTAAACTAGTGAGGTTCAAAATGTTTACTAGTTAACTAGTAAGACCCAAATTTCCACTAGTATCACTAGTGATTCAGTTACACATTTTACTTGTTTACTTGTGAGGCTCTTAAAGTCCACTAGTTAACTAGTTAGTGCAAAAAGCCAACTAGTAACACTAGTTCAGGACATTTTAGTCCTACTAGTGAACTAGTGAGGCTCAAAATGGTTAACTAGTTATCTAGTAAGAGCCAAAATGTCACTAGTTACACTAGTAGTACTCTTTTTGGCATAAGTAGTTAACTACTACGGTTTTAAATGTTTACTAGTACTACTAGTGAAAGCCAAAATGTGTACTAGAAACACTTGTTGAAGTACATGCTAATGAGTGGGTGGGATCAGGGCATTCTCAGAACCTTACCATTGGTTCTCCATATAGACCTCCACCATCCAAAAATTTAACCCTTTGTAAGAAGAAGCAAGTGCTGTGAAGCAACGGCTTCTTCCCTACTTTCCATGAAGAGTAAAACATGAAAATTATATATATATTAAATGTTAGAATTGTTTTTTTAAACTTAAAATAAGATAGAAGATCATTTTAGAACTGTTCTCATGATTTTCTTTTTCCTTTTTTATCCCATCAAGACAGTATTTACAGAAGACATAAGAAAGAGTATGTCTTGAGGTCAGTAGAGTGATAAAAAACAGCCCAAGGTGCAATTGTAAGTTAAAAATGAATGTGTAAATATTTAATATAAATTCATGCTGTTCTTAAAAAGGAAAAAAGTTAATCATATAAAATTATGGACTTTAAAACAACTGGAACTTGATACAGAATTTATGTTCTTGTACTTAATACATTTTAATTTGGCCTAAAGTCGGTAAACTAAGACAAATAAAGGGATTCAAGATTAGGGCCACGTAAAAGGAAAAAAAAACTAAAATTTAGAGATTAAAATAGTTAATTTATGAGAATAAAGTAAAATGTACAAGATTAAATTCTTGTTTAAGTCTATATCAGAAGAGCAGCAGCTCCGAGTGATAAACACATTTAGTTCTGGAAAGTCTTTCACAATAAAAGTCCCTTATTACCATCTATGTGATGTGCTTTTATTTTGAAGCAGACGTATGAGGAAGTTGGGTGTTGTAAGCAGCTGCAACACATCTCAGATGTGTGAAAATAAATACTTAAAACCAAGAAGATTCAGTTAGAAGCTTCACAGGTAGCTAATAGGTAAACAAACAGAGACTAAAACATCTAATATAATCTCATACAGGCTAATTTTAAAACAATAAATGGATTATCTTTCATCTCAGGTTTAGTTGCAGCTACATCAGCCTTTGAGGCTGCATTTGAAACTGAGAATAACAAAACTAAAAACACTAAAATACTCTACACTGTTTATGATTGAGACAAAGTCCCCTTTAGTATTTTCTTAAATAGTTTAAACATTTCCCTTCATAAAACAGCTGAATACTTAAACATATAATATATTATATAATATAATAGTAGAATATATTAGTACTCTTTACACCTCTGCTAGTAGCACTAGTAGCACTAGTAATACTAGTTGACATTTTGGCTCTTACTAGTAGCACTAGTAGTACTAGTACTACTAGTGCACCTAGTGCTACTAGTAAGAGCTTAAATGTCCTCTAGTAGTACTAGTACTAGTACTGTAGACATTAGCAGCGTATATTAGTATAGCACCATCTGGTGGGCATTTGCAAGTAGTATCTTAATTTTATGCTTTAAACATAAAAACATGACTCCTCATATGATAAAATAAATCTTAATGTATGTTGCTTGTGCACTTATCTCAACTGTAAACATAAAAGGAAGACAGTCAAGTATGATCAATGGCTCTTATATCTGCTCACTGCCATATGTATCTTTACGGCTGGGCTTACTCGAAGCTAAACCAAGAAAAATTGAGCAAGTCCATAACATACCAATCCTGCAACTGACACCTAATGGCCGAAATGCATATCTCTCTGCAGCCACTTATTGTATAAGGTTTATTTATCCAGATGTAAGAGGCTGACTTTATATTTATACAAAATAAATCATTAAAACATTTATTTCAAGTTTCAGGCTTGTTACTTTTTTTCTATTATATTTTCTTTTCTTAGTTTTATAATTCAGTATACACTTGTCCTAAATCCTAAATATTTTATACAATATTTTGCATGATCATCTAGCAGATAAACTAAATATAAACACATTTCTTTCATGTTTTTTAGTTTGCAAGGTTCAAACTAGTATATCTTTCATATTTTATATTGCCAAATTTTCAATGGCAAGAAAAAAGCAAGAATCCTTAACATCAATGTTGTGCGACATTTTATTTTATTCTATCGTACTAATATATATAAATATTAAGTGACTGAGTATTGTTTATTTTTTGACAAATACTGCAATAATCAATAATCATTAGTGATTTTTAGAACAAATAAAACGTTTAAAAAACGAAAAAGTTGGACTAGAGATCAAAATGTCTCTGTAACATGAATAACAATGTAACATCAGATTTGGATTTAATCTGTGCATGGGTCATAAAATTCTACCAAGGGCATTCAGTGAGTTACCATTTAGTGATAATATAGCATGAAACAAATGAACAAACCTTCAACAAATGAACAAACCTTAGTGCTGGTTTAACCCTAGGTACTATTCAGATCTGGCCCTTTAAGGCTGGCAAAATCGCAGGTTTGACATTGACCAATCAAAATCCTTGTCCCGCCTGCTTCATTATCATGCGGTCAACTAGTGCTACTAGTCCTACTAGTGGACTGCCAGTTGACCTTTACAAGTAAACTAGTAAGGACCAAATGTCCACTAGTTACACTTGTAAAACGCATTTCGACTTCACTAGTAAACTAATGATGTTCAAAAAGCTTAACTAGTTTATTACTAAGGGCATAAATGTCACTAGTACCACTAGTTGCAGTCTAATTGAACTTACTAGTTAACAAGTAGGGCTCAAGATGTTTACTCGTAGTACTAGTAAAAGAAAAATGCACACTAGCATCACTACTTTGGTCCTCAAGGCCTTACTAGTAAACTAGTGAGGCTTTAAATGCATACTAGTTAACTAGAACAAGTCAAAATGTCCACTAGTTTACCAGTTAGACCATGTGTGACCTTGCTAGTTAACTAGTGAGGCCAAACACAGTTAACTAGTTAATAAGTAATTGCAAAATATCCACTAGTTGTACTAGTAGGGGTCTTTTTGGCAGTACTAGTTAACTAGTTAGATAAATTGTCAGTCACAAGTTAACTAGTAGTCAACAGATCAGATTACTAGTTGACATCTGTGTTCAACTAGTTAACTAGTAAAGGGTTTTAACTGTTCAGCATGTACACTTGTCAAATGATATCATTCAACTAGTTTACTAGTTGAAAGCAAATGTCTACTAGTATGCTGTTTTGTCTGCAACTAGTTTACTAGTGCCACACAAAGTCTTCAACTAGTTTACTAGTGAGGCCAAAAAGACACCAGCTAGTTTAACTAGTGGACAAAAAGGCACTTACTAGTTTACTCGTAAACTGTATAGGGCTTTACTAGTAAACTAGTAAGGTTAAAACCGCCCTCAGTAGTGTGACTAGTTGACATTTTAGCTACTACATGTTAACTAGTAAACGTTTCCGAGCCTCACTAGTTAACTAGTAGGTTTAAAAATATTCCAACTAGTGTTACTAGTTGACACATTTTATCTAACTAGTGACCTAGAAAGGTAAAATTCATCTTCACTAGTGTTACTAGTTACCATTATGAGATTAACTAGTTAACTAGTTAGCATTTGTGTCTAACTCGTTAACTAGTAAAATGAAAACAGATATCGACTAGTAAACTAGTTCTAATCCTTCAATCCAACTAGTTGACTAGTGTGCAATATGTAAATGCAGTGGGTGGGATTATAACCAAATCCTGGGTCCTGATTTGATGTTATTTTTGTTCTTGATTTTTAGAGCCTATCGTAAGCCTCAATCCACACTTATCCCCCACCTCCTCATTATCATTTTGTGCAACAAGTGTTACTAGTGAGATTTTAGATCTAGCTAGTTTACTCGCAAAATATTTAAAAAATAAAATGTAAAAATAATACTAGTGCAACTAGTTGAAATTTGTTCTCTTACTAGTTAACTAGTGAACATTTAGAGCCGCACTAGTTAACTAGTAAGACCAATAAAGCCATCTCTAGTATAACTAGTGGACCTTTCTGCTCTTACTAGTTAACTTGTAAAAACTTTTTATCCTAACTAGTTAGCTAGTATGGTCCATATATATGCATTTCTAGCTTACTAGTGGACATTTTGGCTCTTACTAGTTTACTAGTAAACATGTTTAGACTCACTAGTTAACTAGTAGACACACAATTTACAATTTACACACGTTCTGCTAGTAAACTAGTGTGGTCAAAGACCTCACTAGTACAGGAAACTGAGCTTTGATATCAAGGATTTCTAATATATGTTCAATCGGCTTTCCATAGAGAGCTCTCTAATATTTAGAATTTGGATGTTGGCAAGTCACACCTACACATTCACACACTGATGCTAGAGCTGCTATGTTAGGTGTCTTTCAGTATTCAGTGTCTTCATCCCTGCTCAAAACTACAAAACATTCAATCATTTTTAGGAATTTAACCCTTTAAATGCCAGAATCATGTAATCAAACTGGCATTTAAAGGGTTAAATTCCTGATAATTACTCAATATTTTATATTTTTGAGTAGGTCTGGAGTTGTTTAAGAGATTTTTGCAACAACAACAAAAAATAGAAATAAATATCAATCTGTTCTATTTTTATAGCAGTTTTTGTAAACTGGACATTGTCCAAACAGGGAACTTCATTTTAAATCTGATGCTACACAAAAACTAACAATGCATCAAAGTCAATATTTTGGATAATCTTTGACATATCCAAGACTGATTTTAAAAAAAAACCCCAGCCATCAAATATTTGTCTTATGGAAAATAACTAATTTTTGTGTTTTTTTTCCTTAAATAACAACAGTGACATCAAGTAATCAAACTGGCATTTAAAGGGTCAAATTCCTAAAAATGATTGAATGTTTGGTAGTTTTGAGCAGGGCTGAAGTTGTTTAAGAGATGTATGCAGAAAAAAGTAGAAAAAAAAAAAAATCAATCTGTTCTATTTTTATATCAGTTTTTTGGAAGTGGACATTTTTGTCCTTAGTGACTTAAGAGGGTAGTAAATTAAACTGATGCCTGAGGGTTAAGATTCCATCACTCCTCAAATTTCTGCATGTGAAATAAAACTGTGAGGAGTGATGAGGTCAGAGCCTAGACGGCAAACACAAACTATGTTCTGCTGCTGCAAAACACAAGCATGTTGTCTGACTGAAGTGACGTCATTGATGCAACAGGGCTGATCATGGTCCATTGCGGGAGATGTAACACCTCATATGTAGGCCCCTGCTTATTGTGTGTAGTCTGTATCACTAATATACACCACTTCAACATTCCTCAGACGAGCGTTAAGTTGATCTTGTAATCTAACATCACTCTAACTGTTCCAGAGGAGCCCCAACTCCCCCTGCTGCTCGTGTGTGTGGTCGTCGTCGTGGTCGCGTCCTGCCTGCTGTGTCTGTGGCATTGTTCGGCTGCAAGGCAGAGGTACGTCTTCATCAGATCAATTCAGTCCTCACATCCCTAATTACTCAAATTATGGAATTTACTGCCATAACTTTACAAAAGTCTGACTACACTTCACACAGCGCTCGGCCTCATTAAACCAACTTCTGTTGTTAGTTTTAATCATCATCATGTTGTTGTCTTCATTATGAGTCTTCCCAGAGCCTCCCTGATGACATCATCACATCCTCCCTGAAATCAGCTTTCTAAAGTGCATAAGACATGCATTTAAAAAGTGAAAAATTACAGTTTGAGGCAGAAATTAATAACTTGTATTTTAATTTTTCTGCCGGTTTATTATCCCCCCCCAGTTTGAATTGGCATGATGCTACTGCTACTCACACCATTCTGTGCGAGTGTGTCTGCCTGTAAAGCAGAGTAACTGGATTCAAAGACAGGAGATACATGTACAAATCTTTTCCGCATTCTCCCTCAGGTTCTGCAGGCTTTTCAAGTGTCTCATGCTGGAAGCTGTTCTCGATCCCGCCAACAGCAAATGGGCAAAAGAGTGTACTCAGAATAAGGTGATTATGAAAACATGAATACAAAATATATCCATCAGTCAATTATCTTTCCTGCTTTTCCTGTTCAGGGTCATGGGGGGGGCCCATCCCAGCTGGCATTGGTTGAGGGACTGTTCGCCAGCCAATCACAGAGCTGACATAAAGAGACAGACGACAAGCCACACTCACATTCATACCGTGCAGTCTCTATATGTCAGTCCTTTGATTGACAGGGTGTGACCCCGCCTCTTGTGACCCCGAATGGGAGGAGCTGTTTAGATTAGGTTTGGATGTAAATCACTGATTATAGTTAACTATATCTTTCTTCACAACAGGGCAAAATAAACCTCCAGCTGCCACAGAGTCCATGCAGTCTGACTGAAGAGGAAGAAGAGCCTATCCTGGTGGATGTCGAGGAGCTGCCCAATCAGAGCAAAGCAATCTGCACGCCTACCTGTGACTCCTCGCGGCGCTCTCCTGAAACGAGCCTGAGCCCCCCGATGGAGCGGACCACCCTGCATTACCCTCTGAACTCCTACATCAAGAGCTTCTCCCATGACTCAGCCGGCTCCGACCACACGGAGACCTCTCTGGACACACGCTCGACCGTGGATTACATCTCGTCGCACGTGCCAGGAGACATGGACGAAGAGGACGAGGAAGACGAGTTTCCAGAAGTGGACGGCTTCTTCCCCAGTCACAACATGTTCATGGCATCGCTGGAGTTTGGAGGGAAGTTGACTCTGGATGCAGTCAAAATCAACTGCACGGACTTCTTTCAGAGCAGCTAGGGGGAACCTGAAACTTCTGCCACTTCTCTGGTGAAATGAGACCTAAAGAAAGCGCACACGATGAGACAATGACACAATGTGGCGACCCGATTCTTCCTTCTTCTCTCTCTTGGTTTCTTTTTGGATCAAATGTCTCACTAACAAGCCCGTGAACTACCTCCTCGCTCTATGAAATTAATACTGGAACAAAAACTGTCTCAGGGCGCACTCACACTAGCAAAGTTGTCCCTTACCGTGCTTAACCCACGATCCCCCCCCCTCCATTCCCCCTCTGGTCTGCACACACACTGCTCCAGGACTTACCGGGCCTGAGCACTGTTACCTCTTATACATAACGTTGTAATACAACACAACACAATACAACACATGCATGGCTTTACAAGATCATGAAAAATGAGAGAGAGAGAGAGAGAGAGAGAGAGAGAGGGAGAGGGAGAAAGAGAGAGAGAGGCAGAGAGAGATAGAGAGGCAGAGAGAGAGAGAGAGAGAGAGAGGAAGAAAGAGATAGGGGAGAGAGAGAGAGATAGAGAGGGAGAAAGAGAGAGAGTCATGTTAGTCAGATACAGAACACTCTGGGGTTTGTCCATAATGAATCCACGTTGTGTGCTCGTGTATGAACTGTATCTCTTCAGAGCGTGCCAGGGCCAAGGAAGTGTTCCGAGCTCGAGCACAGATCAAAGCACTCACACTGGTCAAACGAACTGGACTTGAGGAGTGACGTGTAGTGTGTAGTGTGTAGTGTGTAGTGTGTAGTGTGTAGTGTGTAGTGAGTGCGCCCTTATTGAGGTGTTATGAAGCAGTCATTTCAGACTGAGAAAGTCGTTTCATCTCCATGTCCTGCATTAGCATTGTTTCCTCATCTGGATGTCTGATACCAAAACAATAACCCGTTGACTTCTCTCAGGTGCTCACACAGAGGATGCATTGAGCCTCCACAGCCGATCACTTCACTCAGACTTTTATAGCTTCATGTAAAATGGCCTCCATAGTTCTGTGTGATCAAACACACACACACACACACACACAGACACACACACACGCACACACACACACACACACACACACAGACCCACACACACACACACACACACACACACAGACACACACACACGCACACACACACACACACACAGACCCACACACACACACACACACACCACACACACACACACACACACACACACACACATTGCTGGGACTCTGACACTGAACCAGCCTTCACTGTTTTTTATTTGCTTCTGTGTTTTTCCTTTGGTTACAAGTCCAAATTAATTCCGTTCCCTTTCAAAGGATAAAATCCATTTTATTCTTTTGTAGCTTAGCATTGGTGCCTAGCATTGTTACTCATATTGGTTATTATGGTTTGTGGCTTTTTGAACTTCATCCTTTTCTCGTTCTTAGCTCACGTACAACTCAACAAAAGCTTTGAGAACAACTTCTTCTCGTGCTGCTGGGTGATATAGATTCTTGAAGGCAAGTTTATCTATGAGGACCTTTCACACACCAGGCAATTCAAAGCGCATTTCAAACACTATATAATATTATTAATTGTGCATTTAAGAAAAACACCAACTCTACAGAATGCATGCAGCATTTACACAAACTGAACATGTGTGCATGATCAAATGTGCAGGTACAGGAACACTGCAGAAGCACAGGAAGTATAACTGATGCCCCATGTGTAAGTGTAAAATCCTGCAGTTCCTGGAGTGTCCACAAGAGTCTGGCTGCAGAAGCACAGGAAGTCACATACACACCTATTCTAAAAAGTCTGTTTTTACAGCAGAGATTAACATGTTTACAGCCTGGTTCAAAAAAACAAATAGGTGTGATTAGCTCATGTCTTGATGGACACACTGTACGGGGGGTGAATGTTTTGATGACTCATCAGTTTTGATTTGATGAAGGATAAGAGTTATTCACAATAAGGCGTGTAGCTGACCTGATTGACAGGTGGGCGTGGTGTAACGGTTTGTCAGGAGGTTTAAAACCTGCCTCAGCTCCAGCTCTCAGCCTGTCGTTAGGTTGACTGAAAGTTAGACTGAGACAGCATTTCCAGCATGGAGACCGCCATCGATGGGACTCCAGCGCCCCCTGCAGGAAGAGACAGGTGATGCCACTCAGGCTTCAAACATTCATATTTACAGTCTGCGATCTACAGGTGATAATGATTGTTTTGCTGATTGTCAAACTTTAGAGAAGACTGCTTGGGATCGAAACATTGCCTTTAATAAAGTTGCTCTTTGGGAGATGAACAGTGTGCGGACCTTTCTCTTTTTTCTTCAGTTTATACCTTTTATTTTGTCCTGCACCTGTATGCAATTTGCCTTTTGTCTTTTTTCCCAGTCTATGAATCCAGAGCCAACTAAAGCTAAAAACAACACTCATCATGTTGTGTCTCAGTGCCCTGAGACCAGAGACATAACAGACCTCCAGCGTCATTCTAACACAAAGTCATCGATCTTAACTTTGTCCTTGTTTTTAAGATAAAAAACTGCAGTTACATTTGAGCAAAAAGTTGACATGCAATACGGGAATTATTAAAAAGTATGTTGACATTAAGAAATATATACTGCCCCCCATGTGATGAAAATTCTGATGTCACAAGTCAGAAAGACGGGCACCTCGTTGTTTTCTCGTGCATTTTACAACTTGGAAACTTGTGTGTCGCAACAGCACATGAATGCACCATTATTGTGAATAACTCTTATCCTTCATCAAATCAAAACTGATGAGTCATCAAAACATTCACCCCCCCGTACAGTGTGTGTCCATCGAGACATGAGCTAATCACACCTATTTGTTTTTTTGAACCAGGCTGTAAACATGTTAATCTCTGCTGTAAAAACAGACTTTTTAGAATGGGTGTGTATGTGACTTCCTGTGCTTCTGCAGCCAGCCTCTAGTGGACACTCTGGGAACTGCTGGACTTCACACTTCAACTTCATTTTTCAACACCAGAGGTTGTTACTTGATTTGAATGTGGGATTATATCCTCTACACTTTGAAACTTTCACATGTTCATCTTTATAATTTTCATCCGTATCTTTAACGGCTCACAGATTTAAAATGAGCTACACGTCAAGTCTACCTTTAAATAGATGAAACCCATTTGTATAACAGCGTAATCTTTGAAGGGACTGACTGTTTTTACCCGAGGTCAACGTCTGTGATTACGCTTACCCCTACACGTGTCAGATTGTGTTTGAATGTTTGCCCGCTTGCAGGCTGCAAATAAAGTGACAATACAAAAGAATTTATCGACCACCTTTATTTACCGACAGAGGTCTCCAATAGCAGGGCTAGAATTCACACATTAGTAGAGCACTCAAGTTGTTCCACACAATGAACAGCTGTATTTCTTTCAGAGCAATTATGCAGTGGTGCCACCGTGGGAGCTACAGGGCGAGTCAACAGTGGAGGAAAGTATGAGCACAGAACAGACTGCAGAAACAAACTGAAGCCGGGGCTTAAGTTTACATCTGGAGGCTCGAGTGGAGTGTAAACAGTCAGAGAAGGTCCGAGGGCGCACCCCGGAGGACTGCGGTCGCATCACATCGCCGCTGTGGGAACTCATTTCCTCTCAGCATCGCTCAGAGAACAAAACAAAGGCGTTCGTTGAATTGCACTGAGCTAGTGATCGGAGATGAAAATGCACAGCGAGGAGGAGACGGAGGATGTTGTGGAGCACCCCAAAGACAGGTTCATCAGGACACATGAAACATGTTGCAGCTTCATGTGAATCCACCATCAGAATCGGCTCCTGATCAATGCAAATTAAGGAGCAATCACGTACAAGTTCCTCCTGAAAATGACCTAATGTTCCTCCTCTAGAACATTTCAGTACAAAAGAACCACAACACAGATTCAGGTTCTATTCAATCAATGCGTTCAAATGTAGGCAGCATCCCTCGATCAAAGGAGACCGAGGCGTGTCCCACCTGCACCATGTGAAATACAGTCTCTGAAGGAATTTAAGAAAATAGCTAAGATTTACAGGCTGAAGATCGTAGAAGAATAGACCTCCTGTATAAAATATAAAACAATACCCCAGTGCTAAAGCAAAAAAAAAGAAAATGTAAATCTCAATGAGTGAAGCTGTAACATCTTCAGAAACACCTGGTGCTGCGGGGCTCGTTCAGCTTGGCCTGGCGCCTACAGTGCTCGTTTCTAAGCGAGAAAGCGGTGGCTCGCGGCGAGCTGAACACACTTGCCTGATGCTTACGTTTTCTAATGCATTTTTTTTTTCAAGCAGCAATTACAAAAATTTATCAATGGACAATGCATAACCTCTGAAAAAAATACTGTATGAAAACATCCCTGCTACTTTGTTTCCAAGTACAAAACCTCTACCAATAAGTTGCTCCGAAGCAGCAAGAAGTCCTTTTCTTTTTTTTTTTTTTTTATTTCTGTTTTTTTTTTTTTTTCTCCATCTTGTTGTTGTTTTTAAATCGGGTAAAACTCAGTCCTCACGTCGAGTGCCACAGTTAATGACAGTCTTCATCATTTCACTTTGCTGAAGGATCCAGGAACATGCAAGCCTCGTAGCGGAGGTGCGTAAGAGGCTCCTGTGGGCCTGAGGGACACCTGCCAGGCTTAGGCCAGGGCTGGGAAGGCCTCTGGGTCGTCCACGTTGGGCACAGACGCAGATGACTGCGGAGAAACAGCAAACATTCAGTAAATGGAAAATGCACTTGAGCTCGTATAATTCTTTGCTAGTCTTCTGACTTCTCAAAGGTCACACCTGCACATTCACACACTGATGGTAGAGGCTGCTGAGTAAAGAGTCCATCAGTATTAACTCATCCATTCACACACTGATGGTAGAGGCTGCTGCAACTCTACCATGCAACGGATTAAAGTTTCAGGAAGGTGGCTCAGGAAAACTGCTTTTGAGTATCAATGGTAACTTCTGTACATTTTATCTCAGTTATTAGTGGATTTATTCAGTCAAATGGAACTTAATTTGAGTTTTATTGTATTACACTAGCAGTTTTCTATCACCAGCAGAGGGCGCTATATGGATTACAACAAACATCACTCGAGCGGCGTTTGATTTGCTTTCTGTGCAGATACTCGTTAGCTGGTGACATGACAGACGGGCTAAAATTCAGATATGATATTTACCCTTTCAGGCCTTGGTCCACGGACCGGTCTGGCGGTCTCAACACCGGGGGGAGGGCCGCCACGACCACGACCACCACGACCACCACGAGGCCCACCGCGTCCACGGTGGCCGGGACGGCCAAGATCACCGAAGTTGATCTCCAGCTGGGACGTGATGTCATTTGCTGGCTTCCTGAAGTGGTGCTCATCATCCACCTGAAGTCCAAAAACAGTTCAGATTTTAGAAAACGTGTTGGCATTAGCAGCTCTGCGTTTATCTGGGACATTATGAGCTCAGGTTTTTACCTTGGAC